GTTCTATATATATATATATATATATATATATACATACACATACATATATATGTTGGCTGGGATACAAGACTGAGCACCTCGCATCTCTAGAATAGCATTGCCAGAAAGCGTCAAAAAATGAAGAAAAGAACAGTTGGACAAATTATAAATTAGAAAAGTGATGTTTCTGTTAATGTTGGACATTGTAATGTTAAATGCCCGATCATTTAGTATAATGTAGAAATAATGTATATACAGACTGTTACTCATTATCATAATATTACATATGATGGATATTGAATATTATACGGGTCTACTATACGCGACGATGGTAGACAAGTACTAGTAACGTTACATTATTTTATATATATATTACATCTAAAAAATACTATTATAATCTAATAAAGTTTCTATTTTTTGGTATCAACAGCAACGATCAATTAATTTCTGCGATATATTGCTAATTTAATATATAAAACAATATTGCACGTGGAATATCGAGACTATTTCAAATTTTTAGTAATACTATTCAACAGCTTTTTACTGCAAATATTATAAGCATTATAAACATAAAAGTGAATATGTTGAATTTTTTGTTCGACATTGCAAAATCTTTGTAAGTTATGTAATTTATGAAAAAAAATAGAAAAGTACGTCGTGAATATTTTATTTCGTTATGCATCCTGTTACGGCTGTAAATTTTGTTGAAACCTCTTTTTCACTTCTCAGAAGATTACCATAATGGTACATATTCCGGTATCCACGTCCGACCAAGAAGCGAGGATAAGTTCGTCGATACTTTAGTGATATCGAAGTCCGCATCTTCTATCAATGATGTTTCCGAAACGTACAATACCTGCAGACGATGTGCGCACAACGCAACGAATTTCGCTAATCCGGAACAGCTATAAAATGGAAAAAAAATTATTTTTTATTAATATTTTGTTGGAAAAACGTGATATATGTTTTTCGATATATATCATTGCTGCAATATTGAAATATCTACAATATTAATAATAATTTATTATTAATGAGACTCTAAGATATTTTGACAAATTCTACAAATTGATAATTAAACATTAGTGATGAACAAAATAAAGATAACAGTATTATTAATTTTCAAATTGTGTATTTTCATAAGAAAGAAATAAAATTTAAATTTATAATATCTTAGAATTAATAAAGCTGTTTCAATATTGAATTAGAGTAGCGATATGGCATATTTATGAATACAAACGTGATTTCACAATCGCCCAAACTGACGGCACTAAGGTGCGAGCAATTCTTGGCCATGGAAATCAGGAATCGATCGATCGGACCGGATTCATATGTGGCGATAACTAATTCTATCAATCGTGGACATTGCTTGCTTATGCGTGACATCGACTCGGATGTTGCATCGCTGAGATACAAATGTGTTACGGGGATGTGCGATGTGAAAAGTAATTTTTTATTATCGTCGTCAGTCATGTAAGATAGTCTAATGAAAAATAAAAAATACAGCTGCAGAACTTATTTCGACTTTTACTCGCATCGCGCGGATATTGTAATAATAATTCTTAATCAAGATGTATATAGTTCGTTTTTACTTACAGCGCAAGATTTATGTCGGGCAAATGATTCAAAAATGTGGACCATGCTTTATTGCTAACAAGTGGAAAAGGCTTCGCTTCTGGATATGCTTCTATTCGCAGAGTTTCCAAGTGGATTTGCTTCACCGAACATAATGCTAAGAGCAGTTCATCGCTCAGCAAGGCATACGATAAAGATAATTCGCGAAGCCATCGACAATAATTGGTCAAAGCGAGGATGCCTAAAATATCGACAAACTTCCTTAACGCATGTATGTGCAATTTATGAAATTGCAAACTTAACTTTTATTCGTTGCCAACGATGACAGCATATAGTTTTCGAATTACCTTCGGGCAATAGCTGCGGAAATCCTTTAACTCGCACAAGATGCAATGTTTTGGGATCGTTTTCATCACCGCAATAATCTTTCCTGTATTTAACATTCTTAGCCTTAGAGATCGTTACTGCAGATTTAAAACGCTCATCGTTGATCCCGAGCTTCTCCGTGCTCGTCACCGCAAACATTTGCGATAATAAATCGAGATGTTTAGTTTTATATCACTCTTTCAAACTGAATCATTGAAAATTTCGTCGATTAAAACAATATAGAATTTCACTAGGAATTAATAAGTATTTTATTCAATCTTTTCATATTATTTTGTAGAATTGAGCAATTTGATTTCTGAGATGCTTATATATTGTATTTTTTTACTCTTTAATTTAAAACTTTCTATTCGCAGTCACTATCTCAAAAATTTAATATCCTTCGAAATAATATCATTAACTAATTCTTTCCAGTGAAATCTCATTGCGGCATTAAACTTATAACTGCTACTATATATTCTTATCTGTTTTTTTTTTCCAATAGTAACACACTAATTCCTAAGAGAATGCGTTTTTAATCTTACTCGCGGTTCGAACGTTCTGTCGTGATGAGAGAAACTCTGGAGTCCGCCGCAAAAATATTCGCGCGATGAGTATTCTCGATAATAAACTGAAGATACGTTCTTTCGTTCTGTCGCGAACCATGGTCCTTCGTGAAACGGTCTACTTCGACTCACCGAGATGAGTGTTAGGAACAAGCGAAAGGAGTTTGCGGAAGTGGGGACTAGGGCATGCACGCGAGATACGTTAAGTAAAAGTAAAATCACGAAGAAAAGGGTCAAGGACTTTTCGAGATTGCTGGCTCGCGTATGTTCTTCGCGTACTGTTCACGTGTATTACGTAAAAATGTAATGTCTTATACACGAGGTCTCCACGGGAAAAGCATGATAAACGCGTGATCCAAGATGCGAACTTATGCGATTAATCAACCAATAGAGTTTAAAAAAAACGTAATTATATATACTTTGATCAAGAAAAATATTGAAGTCAAGATTATAATAAAATTTTCGTTACATATTTTTTATCTATAGAATTTAGTGCTAATTGCATCAGATAATAAAATCTTACATAAAAGAGTAATTAATCGCTTGCAAAATATTATATCAAAAGATTAAAATTTTAGTTTTTCAATGAGTTTAAAGTAGTAGCAGTTTTTAGCAAAAAGTAATAGTTATTTAAATCCGAGATGAGAATGTTGAGTCGATAAAGTTTCTTAAACAGCAATGACACTTTTAAATATCAATATCGAACCGGTAACTATTTACTTATTTATTTAGTTCTTAACGTCTTGCACATGTTCCTTTCACTAACCGTTCACGTGCTACCAAGCTCACGTGTATGAATCGTTTGCGCCCTTTCACATTTTTCTGACATTCATAGAGGCCGACTATCCCAGTATCAATGTATAATTGACTCGCAGCATATGTTATGATCACCGTAAAAAATATGATTGTTGCATATATACTAAAAATGCTGAATTATTAATAGCAAGCAGTGAAAATTGGAAAGACAGTTTTAAAGAGTAAAGATTTAAAATAAAAGAATAACGAATTAAAATGTGGAAAAAATAATTCTTTATCTCATATAACTCTTTATAATAAAAACATTTATAATTCTGTTTGGAAAAGTTAGACTTATTTAATAATTAAAAATAAATTTAAAGAGCTTTTATTATATAAACTTATTTTTATTGTCTGTACAATATTAATTACCTATATGCTTATTATATATACATATATGTCATTATATAATTAATGTATAAAAATATAATTAATAGTAATATACATACAATTCTCTTTTTTCTTTCATATTTGAAAATAAAAATTCAAGATTTTATTTTATTATTATCTTCGAATCCTGTTACAGACCATTTATTCAAATAATTTTTTAAAACAAAAGGAAAGAGGGATAACACCTTAAAACAATTTCCCATTTTATCTTCATCGGTTATCATATGATATCCTGACTCAATGTGTTTCTTTTGATTATTAGAAGCATTCTGTAAAATCATTTTTAACCGTAAATCGATGCCAAGACTTTTCAGGAATTTTCTTTGCGTAACTGGACCAAACGTGATTAATCTATCGTCTTTCTGTGCAATCTCTTTTAATAATAAAAAATCAACATCCGCAGTCAGATCTGCAGTTCCAGGATTTAACAAGGGATCGTGTAATTTATGCTCGCAGAATGCGCGAAATGTATCGGTCTTTTCCCTCTCGTGACCATAATCAATCACTAGTGCAAATCCTCCATATTCCCACAAAAATTGAGACATATAATCTATTATCACAGAGCACTGAGGACTTATTTCTACATGGTCTCTTTTCTCATGCGGCTAAAAGATATCTCTTATTACTCTATTATCTAAAACTTAAATGCTACATAAAATGACACGAATAAATGCTCACAGATAGGTATACTTTACAAGCAGCTGTTGGCATTTGTGAAAGTACATATCGAAATCTTTCTTCTTTTGAATCTTGCACTATATCTATTAAGATTTCTCTCCAACCTTTATCAGTTTTCTAAAATCAAGCGATATGACTTTTGTAAAAATTATCCCTTATATATTTAATGTACATTCTACAATAAGTCATTAGTAATGAATCAGAAATCAGAAGATAGAAATTAGCTAATCATAATCAATTATTTTTCTCGTATTCTACTGTGATTGGAATTTCTGATTCCTGATTTATTACTATAATGGCTTATTGTACAATGTGTATAATATAATACATTAGTATCAACGTTCTAATATTTCCATAATACCTGAAATTTATGTATTGGCAGAGCATCAAAGAACTCTTGTG